AAACTAATTTCCATAGGTAATGCAAGCTTCCTCTATAAAAGCACAACACTAATAGAAGATTAATTGGAATCTTCTCAATAAGCAGACAGTCAGATGAACTAGCTTCTGCTTATAAAACAATTCTTGAAATAATTTGCATTTGTATATTTAAAAGTAAAACCATGCTACTGCAGTCCAATTTTCAAAGGTTGCCACCTGCTGTTAATAAAATATTTTACAGATGTATTTACAAGTCAAATGCACACAGAACTTCATTTGTCATTTGGATCAGTCTGCTTGTAGAAACTGTAACCTAAAACACCTTTTTACAAGATATACTTACACAGACAGTTAGACGTGAGTTACAGATTTATTTGCTTCTATGTTGACATTTACTAAAGAGTCTCAGGTTTAAATGYAGAGAGTGGATAATTTATCAAAATTATATAAAATTGTATGCAGATATATATTCTATAAACAAGAAGTAAAAGTGGAGAGTACTATGCAGAGTTGTTCAAAATGTAAGCAAATTTCATTATTTGTATGCTTTTCTTCCCTAAAATAGATCAGAAAAGCTATTTTTGTCTCACTGGTTTCTTCTTCTATGTAAGCCACTGAAAWACATGAGAAACTAAAATGTTGATCCTTTTTCTTGTATTAGCATTGCTTTGTGTAAAACAAGGTCCTCAGGTGTTTAGACCTGTGTAATGTTTTTTTATAAGGTATGAAGCTGCACCTGCTCTTATCACCCAGACATCTATAGACTTACAAAAAGTTAAATTATAGCTGCTTTAAACTGTGGAAACGAAAGGCTAATAAAGTCTTTTTTTCTATTATGTTGGCTGATGTTAATAAAATGCTTTGCAAACGCAGCTGTTTACTTGATAACTCGAAATCTTGACTGGACATTCTGCAGTTTGAGTTCTGCTTTAGCTGAACATTATACAAAATTTTCTTCATMGTCTCTCAGTGATTCTCCTCAAATGCTTTGGGGGCATAGACTGAGTTACATTCATAGAAGCTGAATATAAGSAGCATTAAGAGAGGCAGGCTCAGAACTACCATCTGAAAGTTGTTTTCTCAAACATCTTGGTTTCTGGGCAAAGTTTGAGTACCTTTCTTTGTGATTTGTTTTTATTCACAGCTACACATTTTAAAAGTGTGTTTTTTCCTTCCATTGTGTAATAATCAGGGAATGAAAAACAAAGATCTGAAGATATTTTGGGTTCAATTATTGCTCCTTTGTTGCATCCCAAATGATTAAAGTTAATTTCACTCCTAGTAGATCAGCAGTACTCTGCACTCAAAATATTTTTTCTGAGAGGGATAACTTCAGAAAATTGGACACAAATCAGAAAAAGTGAAAAACTTTCCATATTTTTAAGGGGCTAGTCACTCAGGAGTCACTGTAGAAAACTTACAAAAGATAAATGAATGCTAGGTCTGTCGCATAAGAATAATGGAGAAAGCAAGATAACTAAAGAAATGCATCTGCTAAGGAGTTACATGGCAAAATGATCAGAAACTTGTAGAAGATGTGTAAGAGAAATAAGGCTATTTCCACCAAATGTGTCAGTAAAAATGAAGAGATGTGAGAACCAACAACAGACTGCAGCATTATTCAGGATAGAAGAGTTCTGGAAATTTATTTTTTTATTAAAATAGGACTATGTTCTTATGACAACTTTAAGAATATATTGTGTTCCAATAGTACGGTATTGGTTTGAGAAATACTTAATTCCATAATAATTAAATCTTTATTAACTCTATACGTGTTTCCAATTTTAATGCTTTATCTGGATTTTTCTCAAAAAACGATTCTCAACATTTTTCTTATAAGCATATTTTCAGTAGAAAACCTAATACGGGAACCTTTTAGACCAAAATATTACTGAAAATGCTAGACTATCTTGTTAACAGAAAGACAGGAGTGCACAACAACCAAAGACTARCTAATGATTTCCTGCTGAAGGTATAAGGTTTTTTCAGAACAATATCAGATGGTTAAGATAGRATATGAGAAGGGAGAAGATTCAAATAATTGGCAGCAGCTAAATAATAAAATTAAACCTTTTTGTTTTGTCTCTGATTACARCACTATTCCATAAGATGTTCAAAAGCTTTTTTCCTATTGCCTTTGTTTAAGATAATTTTGCCTAGGGCATTGATTTAGGATTCAAGAAGGGAGCTGCAGTTCTACCATTATTTGAGCTGCTGTAGGCTAACTTGCTTCACCCTTTCATTACCCTTTCCTATATTTGTTATGTGCCTACATAGATGGTGAACCCTGTGAGACTGTGTGTGTCTCTTRCTTTGTGTGTTGTACAAAGCTTCACAGATCCCAAGGGGGTAGATTGCCCGTGGGAGATGCAGATTCTTTCTCCAGTAATGTCAGAGGACTGTGCTTGTAGCCCTTTGACTTAGTTGAGTGTTTGTGCTTAGGTGAGGTGAATTCAGGTCTATCAGGGGTATAACGTGGTACATTTGAGTGCATGCTCTGTGTGGGAAGATACTATGGATTCACGTCATGAGTGAAAGAGGCCTGCCTTTTAGTTGCCAGTGATTGCAAATTTTAGCTCAATATTTGCTGTTTGCTTCTAAATTCTAGTAGTTCTCTGATTTTGTACAGCAAACTCACATTTTTCTGTGGGTGTGTTATGAATTAACTGGGTCATAGTTACAGAAACACTTCACCTGGTCCTCAGAAGAGCCAGCAGGATCAACGAGGCTTTTAAACTCAGATATGGTACCACTCCAGTGTGACTATAATGCCTCCATGAGCAATATGGATTGCAGCCTCACAGATGCTTTAATGTGGGTGGRTGCTTGATGAGTAATCTCTGCCAGATACGTTGTAGCTTTGGGAAGAACGGKTTTGTTTTTATCCATGGCATTGCTTGATTCTTTGATCCTTGTACGAGGCATTAAAAGGCCAAGAGTCAGCCTGAGACCAGGAAAACTGCTTTGCCCGGGCTGAGAGAATCCTCTTCCAATTCCAGCTGCTCCCACACCTCTTTCTGTTAGCTCTMTGTCTTGGGAATGCCTTTTACTTTGAACACAACATAAAAATGCACTTTTTACCTCAGGCACTAGGTTAAAGTTTMAGTATAAGTTCTGAAAACCTTAATGCAAAAGCACACTAGTATACTTCCAAATAGATGGGAAATCTCTGGTATTATTTGTGACTTCCTAATGTAAAAGAGAAAATATGGTATATTTAAGTGTACATATAGATGCATGCATACTTTTTTTTTCCAGAAACAAACCCACATTTAAGATTAAGTATGTGGAGACAAGTAAGAGCTTTAGTTCTGAGAATCAACACCTGAAGTGTTGATTAGTGAACACAACACGTTTGAAATGGCCACAGCTGCGTAACAAATAGAGTTCTCAAAGAGCTCTKAGCTCCAGCAAATTTATGTAATTTATAATACTACCTCCTTATTATGTTAATTTACGCTCCCCAAAACAGAACATTTCTTTTGTTTATAAGGTCATAATAGAATGGTAATTGCATTTGCTTATGTCACCAGATGGCTTATGWTTATCAAAATCTGGCTTTTCCCAGTGTTACATTGTCCTGATGCATTCACTCTGTGGGCATATCTGAAGCAGGGCTAGTATTCTAGGTTATGAATATAACTGACTTTCTTTGGGTTTTGCCATTAATGGATCTCTTGCTTTTTTAGCAGCACCAACAGTCTTGATTTACGATTCAGGAATGCTGATGGTGAGGCAAATTTAGCAAGCAATTTTTCTGCCCAACTGTGATTCATATTAGTATTACTGAGCCATCTGCTAGGTATTCTTTGTCCTCTAGAAAGAGAGGGTACAGCTTTGTGCAAAAGTCTACTCAGTTCCCTTGCTCAAACTTCCATCAGCAAAAGTATGAAACAGGGAAGATGGACKATTTTATGGGTTAGATAATGGCATGGGCAAAATCTGTAGTCTGTTTCTGCCTCTGCTAGAGATTTCCCGTGCAACCATGGGTGAATCATTGAATTGCTTTTGCCTTATCACACCATCTGCTGGAATAAATTTCCTTTCTTTTCTTTTTTTCTTGCTTTGTAACCACTTTGCTGTAATACAGCAGGCTTACATTTTTTTTTTCTGGAAATGCATATAACAATTCATGATTTCCTCTGCTGAACTTGAAGTGAATTAGATTTCAGTAACAAACATGTCAGTGATGTAAGGTGTGAGATGACTTCAACCAGATGTTTTCTGTATTAATCTAATTTTCTCAATAATCATAAAGGAGTATCTACAGTAACATACAAAGAGCAAAGGGAAACTGTAGTCGTGACCATGCTAAAATAAAACGGAACATTTGCTGAAGTTTTATTTTTCCCCATGTAGTTCTGTTACTACAAAATTGTGACAATATTTTTCCCTTTAAACGGTATTGCAATAACCAGTAAAAGGTTATTTTGTTTTATAGACACGAAATCCCACATTATTGACTATACTTTCTTAATTACCAACTTGTACTGAAACACATTTCAAAGAAATAACCTGCTTTTATAATAACTTTTAGAATATACAACTCTCTTACAGCACTTTTAGCACATTTAATGTTTCAGCTGTCTTTTTCAGAACTGATTGTTTCATATACAGATTCAATTTTACAAAAATCTATATGAATTTTCGTTCCAGATAAGCATCATAGCTTATCACAGTTTAAGTATTACCATATTCTAATAATTGCTTAATGTTATTGATCAAAATAGAGCAATAATKAAAGATTCAAGACTTTGAATCATAAACACTGCAGATACAACCTAAAAATTGTTTGTTTGCTGGAGAGAATAAAGGCATGGGTTATATGAAATAAATACCATCACAAAGATGGATATGCAAAATTTCAGACTTTTCATTTTCGCATTTTTGTATTTCAAACTTAAAATTAATCCAAGTTATATTAACATACACATCTCAGGAAAAAAAAATAAGGTAAAATTGAACATCTCTTTTTCTGATATAAAATATGCTAATGTTTCTATTTAAATTCTCATTTATAAATGGCAGCTCCTTATGAAATATGTCCTGAAGATTATTTGATGTCAATGGTGTGGAAAAGGACCCCAGCTGGGGACATGGCATTCAATCGATGTCCTCTCAATGCCACAGGTACCGTACTATTTTGAAATTTTATGATGAGAAAAAAGGAGAGAAGTATTTTACATTGTGTCCTAGATAAATTATTACTGGTTTATAAATATGCATATATGTGAATATGTCTGTATAAACCTTACATATTTACTTATGCATGTGCATGCATATATACACGTGTACATATACTGTCTCTTACAGCTTACATGTATGCATGGGCCTGTAGCATATATTTATCTGTATACATACATATGTATACAAACACATACATATGAGCATTATGGCCAGGGAGAAAAAGCTGACAAGAAATCAATTTGACTGGATCTRTAAGGCAAAGTGATGAAAATGAGGGAAAACATAAATATCTTTTTAATTAAGAAAACATTGCAAAAAAGCAATCAAGTAAACATTGAAATGTGTTTCAGAATCTTATACCACTCTGTATATACTGATCATCATTGCATGAAATTGTTTCTGTGTGTGCCTTTAAAATAGCATGGAGTATAGAATAAAAAAGGTTAATTCTTTCCAGTTGCTCTCACTTATATAAATATTTTCTGTCTTCTTTGTATCTTACAGGCACCACTAGCAGACGCTGCTCTCTCAGTGTTCATGGAGTGGCCTTTTGGGAACATCCAAGCTTTGCTAGATGCATATCAAACGAGTACAGACACTTGCAGCATTCAGTAGGTGCAAAGTCAGCTTTAGTACTTGCTCTGTTTATTCATTACTAATCATTGGTGTGAAAAGAAACTTACTTATTTACTCTTAGGTATCTGATAAGCAATGCCAGGAGGAAAACAGATCTGAGAAAGAATTATTTTTATTAATGGATCTTATTTTGATCTTGTATAATGCTGATGTTTGTGAAATAAGCCTTGTCTTACTGTAGAAGTGGAAAAATGAAGCAGATTCCCTTCTTTCATGTCCACTGTGTGAAATTTTTRTAGGGGTCAGAGGTAAGACATATTTTAGTTTATTAGAAAATGAGATGTGAATAAATGAGATTTACTGGAAGAGCGACTTGCTGAGAATTTTATAATACCATGAATTCTTTAATTGCAGAGCAGGAAGCCAGGAATGATATTTCTTTTTGCTATCAAATTTAGAATTTCACTTTCAAATGTAACAATAGGGAATGATTATAGGGTAAAGCTATTGCAGTGTCTTGGAAAAGGTAAAGTAAATCTAGATGAAGGAATACTATGTGGTTGGGTTTTTTTTTTTTCAAAAAGCCTAACAAAAAGTTTCTTTGCAAAGCATAGGCATTTTACATTTATGTACTGCCTAAATATGTTTATATGGATAGATGTAATACATTATGTATATTGCTTTATAAATTTGCTACCCTGGAATATGTTAGGCATATTATTACCCTCCATGACCCTAGCTGAACCATCCAGTCAGGTTAATACTATAGCAAGAAGTGAGCCTTTAAAAATTCTCATGGACAGTGGCTTTTGCCTGCATGATATATTCTACTGACATTGTTATTACTCTGCATCTTTTTCCAAAGGCCACTACTCTATTTATCATTCAGCAAAGGTACACTAATACAGCCTAGTGCTTCATAACTTCCCAACCTCTCAACCAAGTGCAGCACTTCTGTAACAGGTTTAAAATTCTTTGGTAGCTTGAAGAGCAGTAGCCTGGCTGTCATTCCTCAAATCTGGATTGCTACTTAGAGGAGATTTTGATTAATTCCTTTGAGCTGCATTTCTGTTTYGTTAGATCCAATTTATTTGAGGCCTGGGATTCACTTTCAGAATAGGCCAAAGTAAGAATTATTTTTAAAATAGGACAGAATAAATTGTCAAAGGAATTTTCCCTGCYACACAGAAAATTTTCTGGTTCACAAACCTACCTGCATGTTCGTCTCTCCCTTTAGTGTTCATGCTCAAAAAACACATTAAATTTGCTTTAATAGTTTTGCATTTAATAATTTTGGTATTTTATTCTTTTGCAACAGCTGCATGTGTTATATCTATGCTAGTTTGCAGCTCCAACAGTGTGAAAAGCTGTTTCATGCTATTCAGTGGTTTCACTTACCTGGCTGACTTTGGTAGTCACTGGTAATTTTTCAAGAGCCTCAAGTCTGACTAGTTGAACCAAAGGAGACATTTCTAACCTAGAGCAGATTTATATTTTTTTCTATATTTCCTTTTTGGAAATATTAATTATGAGTAAATGACACTGTGAAATATTCTTTCAGCCAAAGAACATTTAAAAATAGGTAAAGCTTCTTTAAAATTACACAAGAATCTAAACATACGTTATTGTTGCACAAAATTTAAGTCTAGTTCATATGCACACAAATTAAAGAAGAAAAGTGGACTTCTTTTACACTTGTGAGCTATTCACAAGGAAAATTGGTCTGTCTTACATCGTTCTGCATCTCTAAGTGAACAACACAGCATATTTAAATAATCAGAGAAAATAGAGGTAAAGACCTATAAGGTCATYGCCCTGCAAATGTAGGCTTGTCCCCCCACGATACATATGTCAGTTCCATAAATCCCTGAAAACAGGGCTTTGTAAGGAAGCTGCTGACAGACGGTGTTGCTATAATAAATGTGTGCTTATGAAAGCATTTATGAGATGTCTCAGTGTGCTTAACTTACCAATAAAGTTATTTTACCAACCCAGACCAGAAATAAAGAGGGGTATCACTCAGTTCTGTGAATTGTTCCCATAAAATCTGAGTCTGAGATGAATCCCTTTTGTTTATTATCTGGAGTAAATAATCGTAGATACATCTTCAGAAAAATAYGTTCCTGAAGTTGATATAAAGCAGTTGGTATGCATAAATATGTTGTTCAATACATTAATGTATTCTATACAGGCAAGTCCCTGTCTTTTTGCCCTCCAAACAAGCCACAGAAATCATATAGTAGAATTCCCATGATGGTGTGCCTAAGAAAATATTATCTAAAGAAAAGTGTTTAATATGATGGGAGCCAGAGAATATTTCCTTGGCCACAAACCCTGCCAACCTGGCTACTCAGGTGCTGAACTGGAAGTTTCCAGTAATATTAGCAAACAAGCTTAAAAGCTGTCCTTGTAGTCATTCACAGTGTTTAATTGTGTGTGTATCTGTTAGTGTGCTCCCTGACATAATTTCAGACCGTACCCCAGGACACGCTCCCAAACAATGCCTACCATCCTTTAGAGGACAGCACAGCAGAGAGGCCATTGTCAGCAGGCAATAAAAGCATGATTTTCTGGGGCAGAGGAGAGATGGAGAGTTTAACATGAGGAAACCACAATTCTCTGCTATATATAGTGAAGAATTTTACCACATAACCACASGTGGTTGACCCCTGAGGACTGTTTCCTTACTGTATGTAGCTACAGTAGGTTTATTGCCTCATGCATGAAGCTTCTTGTATTTTTACAATTTTCTCTTTTGCTCACCTGGAAGTGGCATGGGACAAATTTCAGCCCCTAATAAGCAGTATTAAAGTAGCAGAAGCCCAGCTAGTGCTGTATGTTATTCAGCTTAACTCGAGACTTGTATTGACACCAACATGATTTCTCTGTAAAATCATGGTAAAATGGCACCATCTTTTAATCTCAAAATCCATTTGAAAGTCTATTTGTAAAGATGAAGAGTCATTAAAGCTAAAAATACACCCATAGTTCTAAAGGTAATATACTTTGCTCATAGCCCTCGGCACCATGAATAACATAGCTTTTTCCAATCACCTAAAAAATCTGCCAGGCAGACTTACTGCCTCTACTGCATGCCCTGGCACTCMTGATGTAGGTTATGGCACCTCAGAAGAAAACAGGATTTTCTATTGGTTAAGTTACATTGTCTGGACTCATGGACTGCTTTTTGATACATGCATCAATATTATACTTAATATTCTATTCTAGGCAACAGTTTCAGAGTAATTCAGAGTCYTAAATTAATATATCTCTTCAATCCTTGAGGTCAGTCTGTACTACATCTCCATTTTTTGTTGATGGAGAACTGAGACCAATTAAGCAGAAAATCCATCTCATGTCTTCTGAATTAGTGCCTATCCATTCTTCCTTCTTAATGTTCCTACATCTCTGTAGAACAACTCAGAAAATCTTGGCATGGTAAAAATATAATAACCGCAGGGCCTCTGAAGAGACTATGCACTTGAACRTGATGAAATACTAGAGGGGAATAGTTTGACTTGTGGAGATCAGCACTCAGCTTATGTTTTTCAAGGGCACCGTGTCCTACACGATAGGAGTTTGAGGAAAAGCAGTTAAGAGAATGACGCATGTCAGCTGTGCTCCAAATGTACAGCCTGTACTTCTGTTAGTTTATTTTACCTTCTGCACTATGGAGCACAGGTTCCTTTTAAAACTAGGGATGATAATTAGATCTCTTTGAATAACGGAACCAATTAGTCAGGAATAATTTATCCAACATTTGGTACAAAATAATCATCAAATGAATTCAACAAATACTGTTTGACCAGCTTATGCAGTTAGTTGACTAATAAGAAAATTTATTCACTGAACACATTAAGGGACAAAAATGCCCAAATCCATGAAATAAACTTTTGGGAAATTGTTTACTTAGCTCTAATAATAATATTTAAAGAACCTAATTATGAGTACTCTTMCTAAAGCAATATAAGTGGAAAATTCAAAGTGATAAATAGGTATACTTTGCCTCCTGGAATCTTAACCTAGAGGATCAAGCATAACTTGATGAGCAGAAAAAGAAACATCATAGATCACACACCAGATTTTGTTCTGGTTTTCTTGGATTGTCCTAATGTCTTTGCAGTATCTACAGCTTTGCATTAAGAAAATATTGTTAGTCAACCATGGTGTTTTGAGTCTGTTGCCAGTAATTGTAGTTGAGAAGATTATTTTGCCCAATGATGTGTAATTTTTTTAATGTGTTCTTGAGGAAGACGAGATTACAAGATTTCCTTCTGGAAAGTTCTTAGTCACACATTGATCATCAGATTTTTGTTGATAGTGAGAAATTTCCTTCCTTTCTGTAATTTCAGATTAAATTCTCATAATTTGGAGAATTTTCCTCTTCTCTAGGATAGACATAATTTGGGGTTTCAGACCGTTTTACCAAATCAGTTACTACAATAGCAGAAGTTATGGATCTTGCTAAAGCCTGTTCTCTCTTCCTACCCTTGGCATATAGTTTCATTTTCTGAAAACTGAACTACTTTGGTGTAACTAACGTATTTTTAATCTCTTTAAAGTGCATCTGTTGCTAGCTTAATGGACTGTATATGTAGAAGGGCAGATTAGATGATGATCTAATGACCCAAACTTAGTCTGTATGGTATTAGGAAGTATGGTCCTCATTGTCCATTATCTTCTTTTGATCTGGAAGCAGAACATGGTCTGCCTTATTATTTTATGTAGAATTGTCTACTTTTCCTAGTACTTGGCTAATTTGGACTAGTGTCCTGTGAGGTGTGGTTTGGGTTTTTTTACTTTATTTGGATAAATGKTAAAATCTTCCTTGAGACTAAGAAATTTATTTTTACTGTGATTAAATATGAATGGCTGCTGGACCAAGAATAGAATCAGTGATTTGAAGCCCACAGGCCTACTTCAGATAGTATCCAAGAAAAAAAGTGACTGAAATGCCTTTAAATAAGAGTTCATTATGTTTTCATGCTTTCCTGAAGCCTACCAAATTTGGTTCAGTAAAAGCAGTAAGACTAAG